TTTTTTTCACAACAATCAAAAATATAAAGCTCCGTGACCACAACCCCAAAAACCCCCCCCGCCATCTGGGTTGGGGGGGTATTTGGGGGAGTTAAGCCCCACGTATCTTAAAGTTGCCAAGGTTGAGAAACACTGATGTAAGCTATTCCTTTCCATGCCGGAAGCTGCCATGTATCTGGCTGACCCCCACCCCATGCTAACCCTGCTTTCTGTCTGGTTGTTGGATCCCAATTCACAGATGCAACATGACAGCCTCCTTTCTCATAGAATTGGAAGGGACCACAAGGGCCATGTAGTGCCACCCTTGGCAGTGTGCCCAAAACCAATTCAACCATGCCCAGGAACATTGCTGCCCAGCCTCTTCTTAAAAGCTTCCAGGGATGGGCAACCCACAACCTCCATAGGTAGCCTGTTCCACTGTTGTAGAGACCTCTCTTGTCTTCCTTCCTCATCTAAAGAACCTCCCACATCCAAACATCTCTTTAGCTCCCGTTTGAAACAAGGATTGGCCACATCTGGCCCGACAACATTCCAGTTGTATTTTCAACCCCCCTGCTGTACTTCCAAGGGTGTTTATAAAGTGAAGAATCCCTCCTCCGAGAGAGTGGAAGATTTGGGGTCACCCACCTGGCAGCTGGAGGCAGCCGAAGAAGCAGGACCCCAAAGATCTCACTCAGGGTCCGAGGTGACAATCCATTGCTTTCAGCTTGTTCGGCAACCTTGGAAAAGTGCCGCAGCAGGAACTGGAAGGTGAGGAGGTGCGGCAATGGCATGGCTGGAGGCTCCAACAGCGAAAGCAACTGCTTTTGGCAAAGCTCTGGTTGGGTAACATCTACAGAAGAGCAGGGGTCAGTTTCCAAAAGGAGAAGACAGCAAGACTTGAGAATCCATGCATCTTTGCACCAAAACCCTGGGCATACTGGAACATGTCTATGGCTGCTAGGAAGACTCAGGAAACTGGCACTCCTTACATACCCAGAACCCCACCAAGCGTTCAAATTAAATCCTGGGAGAAGAAATCATGGAGGGAATCCAGAAGGGAACAGGGCACATCACTGTAGTGCGTTTGAGAAAACAGAGGCTGAAGCCAAGGGAGTGAACCGGGATAGGATGGTGGTCCTGCTGACCGACCAGCTCTTTGGCTTCCCCTGTCTCTGAGATGTTTCTATTAGGTAACTTTAAGAACTGCTGCCTGTGTAGCTTGCTTTCTTCCTTCCTTCCTTCTCACCCATTTCTTTTCTTTTCTTTCTTTCTTTATTCAATTTATATAGCCGCCCATCTCAGGCCAGTGACTCTTATGCTGTGTCTTTTACCCTGTAAGCCTGCATGCCGAGACGAATATCTTTCTTACTGATTTTACATCAGCTGTCCTTTTCTGGTACAACGCTGGGCAAAAAGGCTTTAAGCAAGCGTTTATTTTTTTAAAAGAATCCCTTCTACCAATCTCACATTTCCTGATCTTTGTCCCAGCTTGCCGCTATTCATGCCTCTCTCCTCCCAAACCTCCACTCCGAAGCTCCCCTTTCCCTAAAAAAAACTCTCCTTACCTTGGAGCACTCGTAGGATTTCAGCCTGCACGCAAGGAGGCACCACTGGGGTTGGCAGATCTTGCAGATACCCCTTGAGAGCCTCGCCGAGGGAATGCACATCCAAGACCTCCAAATCGCCAGTCGCAGGCCAGTCTGCAGGGACAGAAACATGAGAGAGAAAAGGAATTTGAGCCAGGAAGTGACTCAGAAGCTGACCCTGGTTCATTGTGGCCCAATTCATCTCCCAGCTTGCAGCACTGACTCTCCAGATTACTCTGATGACGGGAAATGCAGGCAGGACTCAGGCAAGCACTACGCCATCACTTTCTGGTGCCTTGATGGTAGAGGTCTTAAATAGGGCATGTTGGACTCCCACTGGCTCATCACTTCATCCAGTCTTGCACCCCACCAACAGCAGATGCAGCTCATAGACATTTTTTATGATACCTACTAGGTGTTTTGACTTTCAAATGTCCTTAAAGTTCCTTTTAATGCAAGCGCTTCCCGGGTTACACAAACTAACTTGCATGAGTCAGTAGAAGGGATTCAAAACGTGGCAGCTGACAGTTCACAGAGGCACCAACATGGCTGCGGGTGGTTTTGGCATCCACAAACATGGCAGCCAATCTAAGCAAAAGTTGACTTGCTCAAGGGATCCAGGAACAAAGCATCATCAAGTGTCAGCTAGTTTAAAAAATGAACCACAGATGTGTTTAGAAAATAAAAGTGGAGCTGGGAATGTGTCCCACCAGCCTAGGGCCACCATTTCCTGACAAAGGTAAGCTGAGATGGCCAGGAATGTTGTGGGGATCTTGGGGATGGTGACAGAGAGCAAGCTTATCTGTTTTTCTTCCGGTAAATGGTTGTTTGGCAACTGATTATCCCTACCATAACAGCTATGTTGTGAATGCATGACCCCCCACTCCACCGTGGCATCCATTTTGCAAGAGAGGCCATAAGAGGCTCCCCAGATTCTAAATGTGTCCATCGACCTAAACATTGGAGAGTCCCCTAGTATATTTTCTCTTCCTTTGCATGCAGAAAACCCAACCCATGATACTTCCAAGTAGAGTAAGATCTTGAACAAGAGTGGCTTTCTGCCAGTCAAAATAGTCCATTTGGGGTGAGATGGCCAATTTGGCAACATCTTGAGATCTTCTGCCTGCAGAACATCGGCCACCCCAACCAACAGAAAAATATTCAGAACACTCTGTGGACGGGTGGTATAGCCCTCCAGCCTCCCTCTGCTTTTGAATTTAGAGAGTGAAAGTTAAACTAAATGGGCTCACAAGGTCATGGGATGCCTTCCAGCCTTTTGAGCCAAAAAGAAGCGCTCTGCCCCCTCTACCTGCTCACCCCTTTGCTTCTCCCCTCCCTGCCTGGGACTGAAGGCTGAGAAGCTCTGAATGCAGACGCTGCTGCTGCTGCTGCAGCCTCTAATCTCTTCCATCTGATCAGCCTCGCTTGCTCCCCGCAGAACTGGTTCTTACCGGTTCTCAGTGCTTGCCTTAGTTCGGAGCCAGATGTTCTGTAGAGTATCTTGCTGTCTAACCCTGTGAAAGTAACACACAGCAGATTGGATTAGCTCCACAAAGGAGATTTTTTTTTTCCTTCCTGGGGGCAGGGAGCTGGGGACGCTGCACTCTGGGGGCTGGGAAATAAAAATGGAGGAGTAGGGCGAACATTTAGGAAGAAGAACTGCTTTCTTCTCCTGTTTGCCCACCTGCACATCTTCGTATTTAAACTTTGTTGTCCCGTCTTTCCGTCAAGGGCTCAAGGCACCGATTCCATTCCCACACCAACCACTCTGTAAGGTTAGAATAGGCAGAAAGGGAGTGACAGGGCCAAAGTCACCCAGGGAGCTTCCCCAGCTCAAGGTGGTTCTGAATCTGGTCTCCCCAGTCCTAGCCCAAAACTCCAAATGTTACACAAGACAGTCTCATGGAGGTCTGTCTACTTTGGCCACAGAATGGAAACCTCAGCAGCGCCAGCATCTCAGGGGATAGGCCCTTCCAAAGAGGGAAGGAAGATGAATTTTCCATGTGCCCCCCCCCTTAGGAGAATTAGCCACAGGAAGTGCCCTGCCAACGTATTCCTCTGTTCAGCTCCGCTCCCGCCTGCCGATCCTGCCTGTGCACCCAGCTTGCTAGCTTTTAACCAGGGTTTCAAGAAGATGGGCTCTGTCATCCCTTTGTTGACTGATTTTGGCCCCTTTTGAACAAGCAATCCAGTGGGTCTCTGAGCCACCAGCTCCATGGCATGATTCCCCCCCGCACTGCTACCTAGAAAACAAAGGACTACTAACACAAGTTTAATATAGCTAAAAAAAAAATCTGTACTAGGGCTATTGATACTCCATTAGGTATTACTAAGCCGTTCATTTGCTTGCTTGCTTTTACTTACTGGTTACATTTATACCTTGCTTTTTTGTTCAGGAATTCAAGCAGGCATACATAGTGTTCTGCTCCCCCCCTCCATTTTTTCCGTACAACAACCCTGTGAGGTACGTTGGACTGAGAGAGTGGCCTAATGTCACTCCATGAGGTTCTGGGGTTGAAGACGGACAAAAATCTAGATCTCCCTGATACCAGTCCAACCCCTTAACCTAGTGTTTCTCAATATTTGGAAACTTTAGATTTGTGTGGTTCTTAATACACCAATTTTCTCCCCCCCCACCACAAAGGATGGGGGGGCTTTTGAGGTGGAGGAGACAAACACTAATA